GTCGTCGTCGTCCCCCCCCCGCCTCCTTTTCCCGCACACCCCGGCCCCCCGAGCTCCTCTAAAGCGAGAGCTTCCCTCCTCTGCTTTCTTATGAACCCAGGATGAGCAGCAAGGAAGACCCCAGCAAATGCTGTCCGGCGGCTGCTCCCATCTCCAGTTTTACCATCCAGTCCATCCTGGGCAGCAGCGGCAGCGCCGAACCCCCCCGGGAAACCGGTGGGAGGGTGACAGCCTGGCCCCCCCGCGGCCGGACCCTTTCCCTTTCCTCGGAGGACGAGGAACCGGAGGAAAGCTGGAAACATCGCGGCTGTTTCTGCCCCGAAGCTCAAAGCCCCGCCGAGGCTTGCCGCAAGCACCAGCCCCTCACCTTTACTTGTCTCGGTGAGTACCGGGACGGGGCGGACGGGCCCCCCCGGGATGGGCCGCGGAGGGCTCGGCCCCGGCCCGGCCCCCACCCGGGGCGGGCGGAGAAGGGGGGGGGGGGAATGTCGCACCCTCCCTGCTTTCGGGGCAGAGCGTATTTGCGCCGTCCGTGGCTGAAAGGGGGGGGAAGAACACCCTTAAAAATAGGGTGGCTTTTTTTTTTTTTGGTGTTTTTTCCTCTTCCCGCCCCACCCGGGGTTGATTCCCCCGAAGGGGCGCGATGCGATGGGTAACGCTGGTTTGCTTCGATTCTGCTTTATTTACAGCGCTCGGGCAAAGGGGGGGGGGAGAAAGATCTTTATTTTTTTTTAGCGTTACTCCTGACGAAACGGTCTGTGAAATGCAATGCTCTCAAGTAAAATCCGCCGGCTCGTGTCGGATAGGAAAGCACCCCTAGTCTGCTACTCGGCTGCCTTCGCCGAGGCGTGCACGTCCGTCCGTCCGTCTGTCTGTCCGTCCATCCATGTGCTGGAGGGACAGGGATAACCCCGAGGGGGATGGCTTCCCTCCTCCGGGAGGGGAGGCGGCGGGTGCTTGTCCCGGGGGCTCCCCTCGCTGCTTCTCCCCCCCCCCCCCCAAGCCGGGTCGTCGGGGAGGTCTCTGCCGTCGGGGGGTGCCGGTACCGGCCGCCGTGCGACCCCCGCGCTATCGTTGTGTTACAGGCAGCGCCAAGGGGAACGGAGCGGCGGCGGCGGGCAGCGGGGAGAGGGGGTCCTTCCTCTCGCCCCCCCAGCAGGACTGTAAGGAGGAGAAGGAGAAACCCCTGGGACCCTCCTCGCCCTCCTGCGGGGACCGGCAGCGCGACGGCGGGGACCGACAGGCCGGTGCGGCCAAGAAGAAGACGCGGACGGTGTTCAGCCGCAGCCAGGTCTATCAGCTGGAATCCACCTTCGACATGAAGCGCTACCTGAGCAGCTCGGAACGGGCCTGCCTGGCTTCCAGCTTGCAGCTCACCGAGACCCAGGTGAAAACCTGGTTCCAGAACCGCAGGAACAAGTGGAAACGGCAGCTCTCGGCCGAGCTGGAGGCGGCCAACATGGCCCACGCCTCGGCACAGACTCTGGTGGGGATGCCGCTGGTGTTCAGAGACAATTCCCTCCTCCGAGTGCCGGTGCCCCGGTCCATCGCCTTCCCCGCTCCTCTCTACTACCCCGGCAGCAACCTCTCGGCCTTACCGCTCTACAACCTCTACAACAAGATCGACTACTGAGCCGCCGGCTCTTCCCTTCCCTCCCCGCGGTCGCCCCGTCGGGGCCGGGACCGGGACCGGGGAACCGGGAAACCCGGGGCCGGGGCCGCCGCGGGGGCTTCGTGCAGGTTCTCGGCCCTCCTCCGCGGTGGGGACAAGAGGAACGAAACTGATGGGAGGGACGGGCAAACGGAGAAGCCCGGGGAGCCCGGGGGGCACCCCCCCTGCTCCCCTCCCACTATCCTGCCACTTGAAAACAAAAATAATTAAAAAAGCGTTATTTCAGATCTGTAAATATTTTTAAAGAAAGAAAACAAACAAAAAAATAAAACGTTTTAAGCCTCGTTTGTAAATTTGCCAGCTCCATCGCCTCTTCCCACCGGGCGGCCCTGCCCGGAGGGGTACCCCGGGACCGGGGGGGTGCCCCGCAGCCGGACCGGGCACGGTGGGAGCCGCCGCTGCGGGAAAGGGCCCGCGGGGCCTGGGACCGATGGACGGGAGAGCGAAAACGACATGTTGTAAAGCCGAGGGTTTATTTTATTTTTTTTATATTTTTTTTTTCTGCCTCCTGCTCGTTATCTCGTTTCCTGCAGGGATTCCCAGGCGGGCCTGCCCCGTACCCCTGCCCGTAGTCCCGCGGGACCGGCGGGGGCTCGGTCCCCAGGGTTTGGCTGGAAGACGAAGGGCCTTTCTCAAAATCTCAGAAGCGATTTCGGAAACGGGGACCGTTTTTCTGGTTTGCGGAGTATTTCGCTAAAAGCGGCGGTGACAGGCAGCGGGGCCGGCAGGTCCCGGTGATCGATCCCGGTGCCCAGCGGCTCCTCTCGCCGCCCCGGGGCACCCACGGCTGACTCCCCACGGAGGACGGAGTCAATCGTTCGCACAAAAAAAGTAAATCCCGCAGCAAGCGGGATTTAAACGGCGGCCACCGGCTCCGCGGGTACCGCCGGTACCGGGCGATGTTTACAGCACCGATAAGGGGGGTGCCTTCGCCGGGTAACGAAAAAACAAATAAAAGGGAGGGAAATAAAAAATCCGCAGGGATAAATAAGGTGGTTCTCGACGCCTGGGAGCGAGGAAGCTCTCCCTGCCCTTCCCAGCCCGTATCTGAAGCCGCAGACCCCCGGTTTGCTGCCCGGTGCTGCCCTTGCCCGGCGGTAGCGGCGGGACGGGGGGGACACCGAGGTGACCGGGTGCCGGTGCGGTCGCTCCGCCTTTCGGACTCTTTTTTTAGGGGGAATAATTCGTATTTCGGGTTTGCCCGTTAAGGTTGTTAAAGCCCGGCAAGCAGCTGTCCCT